TTTCCCTGTCCTTGTCCTCGGGGTCCCAGGAGGAAGGGAGGTGCCTCTCTGATTTCTCCTGCAGGCAAGACGATTTTGCCAGAGTTTTACTTTCTGTGGTGTGACTGATAAAAACAATAGGTCTTTTTGTTTTCCTTTTCCAAATATGAAATCGTAGTCTCAAATGTGCTCTTTCCCAGGGCACACCAGAGACTCAGAACATGCAGCCGGATTGCCAAGGATCCAGGCGCAAACCAAATGGCAAACTCCAGAGCAGAGGGCCCCAGCCGCCACCGCTACCCCCAGCCCAGCCCACCCCCACCGAGCATGCTTGAATTACTCACACTCTCTAGATTGGGCCTTGGCCACACAGGCTGTTTTGTTCATAGCCTGAATCCCCAGTAAGCAGACTTGTGTCCACCCCTTGAGAACCATGCTCAGTTTACAACCCCACTTTCGGAGTTGCTGAACCTCTGCCGCCCTAAGCTCCATCTCCGACCAGCCAGCGGGGGGAACAGAGGAGCGTTTAGCCAGAGCCAACCCTCAGCGGGCGCTCAGCTGGGAGGTAGAGGCTGTCGTTGGTGCTCGCTCGCGACAAGGAGGTTCCAGCTACTGCAAAACGAAAGACTTTTATTGAAAAATAGCAAGTGGCCCATTTCATGGTCGCTGGTCCCTGCCCATCGCGGGCTTTTGGGCCCTTCAGTCGGGTATGGGGCAGGCAAGTATCTGTGGCCACCCCCAGCCCCGGGCTCTCCCAGAGCGGGGAGCGAGGTTTCACTGTCCATGAGAGTTGGTCCCTGGGCCCCTGCAGTCCGGCTCCCCAGCCCACAGAGGGGTGGCAGCTAGGGAAAGGGGCGCCGCTCGGCCCCTTCCAGTCCAGTGAGAGGACTGCCTGGCATCTGGGGGTGAACTGGTCTCTGACGCAAGGCTGCACGCTGGACTGGTGGGCGCTCCAGCTCGTGGTAGTGACGGGGTCTTCCTGCATCTGCCCCCTCAGACGTAGTCCTTGCGGTCGTAGGCTGTGCCCGCGCCGGTTCCCTGGGCGGTGGAGCGTGGCGCGGAGTAAAGGATCTTGGCCGGCACGTACTTCTTTTCGCTGGGCGGACACGAACAACAGAGCAACGCGCCCCCCAGCAGCTGCAGCGCTGCGGCCGCCCAGCCTACGTACAGGCCCGCACCCATCTCGCGCTTCTGCGCCTCAGGCACCAGTGGATTGTAGAAGTCCTGGATGATGGTGTTGGCCGACCAGGACACCGGCACCAGGGTGAGCAGGGCGGCCAGAAGGAAGAGCACGCCTGCCACGATGGTGATCTTGGCTTTGGCCGTGTCGTCCTGCACGCAGTTGGTGCACTGGGCACCTACGAGCGCCACGAGGAGCCCGAAGACGGCCAGCAGGATGGCGACGACGATGAGGGCGCGGGCGGCCTGCAGGTCCTGCGGCAGCGCCAGCAGCGAGTCGTACATCTTGCACTGCATCTGGCCGGTGCTCTGCACCACGCAGTTCATCCACAGGCCCTCCCAGGTGATCTGCGCCGTGATAATGCTGCTGCCGATGAAGGCCGTCACGCGCCACATGGGCAGCGCGCAGCACACGATGGTGCCCAGCCAGCCCAGCACCGCCAGCGAGGTGCCGGTGATCTCCAGGCCCATAGACATGGCTGCTGGG